GAGAGAGAGAGAGAGAGAGAGAGAGAAAGAGAATGGAAACATGGAAGCGTCAGGGGAGGAGGGAGAAGTTAGATTTCCAAAGGGATGGGAAGATGTTGAATGGGCAATGGAAGAATTTGGGGGTCTTCCTTGGGGATAAAATAACTTGGGGGGGGTGCCTAGAAAGTGGAACATTGTTTGAAGTTCCTATTGGGTGCCAAGGGTGATTTGGGGTCCTTGAGGTGAAAGAACATGGCTGGGGTCCCCCAGAAGGAGTGGGATGCAGTGTGTGATTTGGGGTGGCTGCTGATGTGGTATGGTCCCCACCACGGGGCTTCCTTGAGCACTGGGAAATGGTTGGGGTCCACACTAGATGTTAGGTTATGTCCTTTTTCTCCCTGAGGGGGAGAGCATGGTCTAGCTCACTGCCATCAAGTCCCTCTGATCCAAATCTGCCCTGCAGGGCACAGTAGAACTGCTGCTCTACTGGATTTCTGAGACCGCCTTGGTGCAGTGGTGGCTTACATGTTGGGCTGCTAACCACAAGGTCAATAGTTTGAAACCAGCAGCCACTCTGAGGGAGAAAGAGGAGGCTTTCTCAGCCTGTACAGAGTTAGTCTTGGAAACCCCACAGGGGCCTGTTCTATTCTGCCTTTCAGGGACGCCATGATTTGGGATCATCTGGATGGCGGCGAGTTTGGGACAGTCTTTCCTTTCTCCACCCAAGCAGCAGCCCGTGGGTTTGAACTGCCAACCTGACCTTGCAGTTTGCAGCCCAATGCTTAAGGCCCAGTGCTACCAGGTTACCTGGTCGAGGTGTCCCCCTGAATGGGGTATGGCCTAAGGCCCCTGATGGGGTGAGCTCCTTGCATGCTGAGACCCAGTCTGGGCTCCCCCCTGTGCGTTTGGGGCATAGTGTGAGGTCCCTGGTGGGTGTGGACCTTAGTCTGGGGTCACCACCGAGTGTTGGGACATGATTTGTGGCCCTGGGTGGCAGCAGAACATGATCCGGGGACCCAAAGCAGGTAAGGTATGGGCTGAGGTCCCGGGGGTACATGGCCAAGGCCCGAAGTCTCTCCGTTGGGAGATCTGGGGTTTCTCGTGAGTCGGGGCGTGGCTTGGGAGGGGGGTCTCCTGGGAGGCCGGCAGAGCTGGGGGTGGGGCTGGGGAGTGGTCGAGGGCGGGCCAGCGGCGGCTCCGCAGTGGAGAGGGATCTGCAGCGGCCCCCC